AATTCCTATCAAATACAAAATTGACAGGGCTTCATTAGCTCTGGCATCTTGCCTTTAGATCTTACTATCAAATTTGTCAAACATTGTTTTAATAGAATCCCATTTTATATTTGAATTTTATCCTGTTTTTATTTTTATATTTTATTATATAGTTTTGTTTATTTTTAAAACATCTTCTTAGTTATCTCTAGTGTTTCTGTTTAAAAGTAAGAAAAAAATATTTTAATAATTAAATACCATCTGGAAGAAGTGTAATTACACTGTGGTCCCCAAAATATTCAGCTATAGTCCACAATAATAAAGCTGCCTTGTCCTGATCTTGGATGACTTAATTCACTTAAGAACAAAACATTTCTTGAGCTAACATCTATATTTTTTTGTCTGGAATGTCAAGATACTGAAATGATTTGCTGCACTAAGACTTCTTTCTGCAATATTCTAGCCTGGAGAATAAGCTTTTGTGCTCTCACATGCCTATGAAGAAATCAGATATTGTTTTTGATTTTGATCAGCCTTTAATATTACATCTGAGCATTAACTGCATCTATAATACCAGCTATAATCCATTGGAATTTCACAAACTTGCTTCAGAAGAATATTGGAATGGAAACAATTCTACTGTACCTAATATAGTAAAACCAAGCCAATGTGTGTCACTCTCCTTTCCTTGTTCTGATTTTTCCAGTAGACTTCCCTTGAAACTAGGAGTCAAAGAAGGCTCTTAGTTTTTAGTTCCCTGAAAGCAGAATCTTGATAACAGAATAGTCATTACTGTGAGTAGAAGATTTAACAAAATATGGCTAGAAAAAATATTAATAGAAATGCTTTGCATTGTGGAATCTTGAATTTAAAGTACTTTATTTTGGAATTTCTTTGGGGGCTACACTTAAGAATATCTATATTTTGTGTGTGTATGTGTGTGTGTGTGTGTGTGATAAGTTTGCTAAAGCATGAGCACCTCTAAAGATATTTAGACATATTTAGTAAAAAGGGTGATATACAGCGAACAAATTGTCTTGTGCAGCACAACTCCTTTACAGATAACCAAGTAGAGGAACATTCTAGAATCACCATTTTGCCAGTAAAGTAGGTCTCCAGTTGTACTGGGCTACAGTTTGCATCAATCCTGGTCAAAATTGCCATAGATGACACAGAGCAGTACCAGGCTATGGTGCATCTGTTTTTAATTTGGAGATCAAACAATCTGCATCTACACTTAATGGTACTTGAGGAAATTTTCCTGAGGGAGGTTTATTCAAAATACTCTTGACAGCAATGAGCTCTCTGTTTTAATAAAGCAGGCACAAAAAAAGTTAAGCAAGCAATCAAGGAAAACATGGGTAAAATACAGGATAAAAAAAGAGCAATCCTCAGAGTGTCTGAATTCTAGCAATTATTAATATATTCTAACTAGCAATTGGGACTTTATATATTTCTCCCTGCCAGAAGGTTTACAGTCAGATTTAAAAAGATACAGAAGATTAAAGTGATACATATTAACAGTGCAAGCCTCTATATCATGGGTCATCAACCTTTTTGGTCTGGTGGAAGAGGGAGGGGCAGGGACCTTACGCGCGCATGTGCAAACATGAATTTGTGATGGCAGTGCCTGTGTGAGGCTTGTGGTACCGTTGCTACCAGGCTCTTGGCGATGCTACCACCAGCGCGAGGCTCACATTGTGGCCTGCAGTGATGCTGCTCACAGCGCAAGGTTCATGCTGCCGCCCTTATGCAAGGATTGTGCCATGGCTCACAGCGATGCCACCCCAGCGCGAGGCTTGTGCCACCATTGCTGCACAAGGATCGTGCTGTGGCCCACCTGCCGCTTATGGCGCTGCTGGTGTCAGCACAAGGTTAATGGCAATGCCGCCATCTGCGTGTGGCGCGCCACCGCCCACCTGCTATTGCAGTGCTGCTGACCCCCATGCAAGGTTCGTGGCAACACTACCACCCGCGCAATACTAGCAATGCTGCCACCACCTGCACAACACTTGCGGCAAACGGTGGCATAAGGGGGGTTATGCACATGCATGTGCACTGCCCAGCTACTCACACAGCCCAGGGGCCAAGAGGCCATGGCAGGTAGTGGGCCACAGTCCATAGGTTGGAGATTTCTGCTCTATATGATATTTAAGTCCCACTGAGTTCAATGAAGCTTGATCTTTAGCATATATGTATGGGACTGTAATTTCAGGTTCAGATAACTTAGAATAGAATAGAGCTGGAAGGGACCTTGGAAGTCTTCTAGTCTAGCCCCCTGCTCAAGCAGGAGGACCTATACCATCTCAGACAAGTGACTGTCTAGCCTCTTCTTAAAAATCTCCAGTGATGGAGCACCCACAATTTCTGGAGGCAAGCTGTTCCAGTTGTTAATTGTCCTCACTGTCAGGAAATTTCTCCTTAATTCCAGGTTGCTTCTCTCTTTGATCAGTTTCCAACCATTGTTTCTTGTCCTGCCCTCTGGTGCATTGGAGAATAATATGATCCCCTCTTCTTCGTGGCAGCCCCTCAAATACTGGAATACTGCTATCATGTCTCCCCTATTTCTTCTTTTCTTTAGACTCAAGGTGTTACATGAAGTGACTTAATTAGACACAGAATTCAAGAATGGTGTAATAACCCCCTTCCCAAATTAAATAAAGCATATCTTAAACTGCATACTGATTAAAAAATATTTGGACTACAAGATATTCTAAAACAAATCAGTTATATATCTGACCAGAAATCAAACTATGTTGAGAAACTAGTGCTAAGGGCATTTGTTAGAGAGGTGCCAATTCTTGGATATTTTGTTAGACAAATAGATAACCTTTATTGTCATTTTTTTACCCTGGGCACATTGGCACACATTAAAAATGAAATTTAGTTGCTTGCTCTCAGAAGTGTACACATACATAACACACATTTAAACATGCTATATACAACATATGTATAAACCAACACCCTTACATATAAATAACATATAAATATTAATCACTGTCCATCTTGGTTTGTGTAATATGTCACATCTAATGATCCTTTATCCCTAAAAGGCTGGGCTATGGGACTTCACTCTGTAAAAAAACACTTAAGCTCTCTCAACAGTGGTTAGACTTAGGGGCAAGAGAAAGAAAAGCTTTGTTATAGATGCTTTAGTGTATTCATTATTTCAAGATGCATAGTTTTGAAATCCTAGTTTCGCTTTATTCTGCACTGGTCAGAATTGCTCTCCAGCAGAGTGTCCAGTTCTGAACACTACATTTAAATATGTTCAGAAAAGGAGTAATGAGAATAATCAATGGTCTAGAAACTAAATCCTATGAAAGTTCTGAGAAAAACAGGGAACATAAAAATATGATAGAATGTTTAAAATCCTGACAAAAGTGTCATCTTGAAGAAGATAGGTAAGAATATGATAGAATGTTTAAAATCCTGACAAAAGTGTCATCTTGAAGAAGATGAAGACTTTTTCTTTATTATCCCAGAGGACAGGATATGGAATAATGGATGTAAATTACAAGATGGATTTAGAGCAATTTAACAATGAAACCTATTACTAGGAAGGTGATGACTTGACCTCTCAACTGATGGATGTATTCAAGCAGAGGCTCCTCTCATGGAGATTTTAATCTGAATTCCTGCACTGAGAAGGGGATTGAATTTAACATTTTAAAGGCTGTCTTCCACCTGTTTGATTCTCTGTTGGTGGCTAAAAATCTCTATACATTGATTTCATTGCCTTATGTAAAATTAATTATCATAACGCAATTTTGATTTGCTGCAGAAACTTTATATAGGGTCATATAAGTAGCTTTGTTTGTTCAGTATTAACTTTTAAAGATATTCTTTAAATGCATTATAAAACAAGTGAACTACAGAAACTATAAACTAATCAAAAGTAAAGTTAATTAATCTTAGAAGGGAGAACAGATGTGTAACATCTAATTGGTGATGGTGATAAGAAAAATTGTTGCCTCAAAAGCTAATCTTTTGAGAAGGTTATAGACTGGTTTAAAACTAAGACTGGTGTTCTATGAAAGGAGAAACATATGACCTATCTATGGATGGAATTTTCAGTGAAAAACATGTGTGGGGAAAAAAAAAGAATTAAGAATCTCTATGAAGTGTACAGTAGCTTCATATCAAACTGGAGCCTCAATGAGTGAATTTATTAAAATGAAATAGATTGGAAAAAAAATAAGGAAAGACAAATTGCCAAATTATATTTATGCCACGGATATCCAACATGGTTTCTGTTACATTGTTCTTGATATTGGCAACCAGCTGAACATAGTTTGGTGCTCTGTAATTGCCAAGAAAATTCTCAATGACAGCCTTGAATGCTTTTCAGGTGATTTTCTCTGGTCCCACTAACAGATCTTTGAACCACTTGTGATATATCTGATCTGTGGACCAACAAAAATGCCTTCCTTAATCTTGGCATCAATTATATTTGGAAACATCTGTCTCAAATAACAATAATAACTTCACTTTATTCATTGCTTTCACAATATTTTTCATCACTCTGAGTTTTAAGCAAAGATGAGGCAAAAATATTTTTCTTGGGTCAAGAAGTGGTTCATATGTCATGTTTTTCTGTCCTGGAACCAATTTCTTTCAGAGTGGCCATTTCTTTTTAATGTAATGCGACTCTCTTGCATGGCTATCCTATTTGCATATTTAACAACAGTACTTGGTATATAGCTGCAATCCAAGCAGAAGAGCCGCTATTTTTAGATCTCCACAGATATTTCAGTTATACTTGGTACACACCAACAACACTTCCAGGTTTTTGTATGTCTCTTTCATGTGTACAGCATAGCCAAAAGGTATTATGTTTACAGCTGTTGTGTAAAACAGAAGATTTCTATAATGGTGTGTGATAGGTTATTTTCATGATTAATAGTCAAAATATACCCCAAAGTATTCAGGAAGCAAAATCTTTCTTATCCAGTGTGATTATTGTTGTTGATACCAAAGAAAAATTAAATTTATACAGTAATACTTGATATGCAACTTACCCATATAAAAATATTCTGGGGAGGCCTCATCAGTTGCTAAATCTCTTATAACATTTCCAAACCGCAGCCATAGTCCAAATGCGATAACAGCTGAACCTGCCAACTGGAAAAGCAAAACAAAAGTTAAGTGCTGAAGGAAGATGGGTGGCAAGCACAGAAAAATCAGCAAACAGTTTCTTGTTATCCCTGGAGATTCCAACAGCCATTATTCCAGAGCCTCATCTGCTCCCTACAGTACACAGATGGTGAATGCCATTCACAGACCAAGATCATACTTCTGTGCACACCGGAGTTTATTAACCTTTTTGGGCCAGAGTACTCTCTGAAAGTCTGATAAAACTACAGTATATATAGTAGATAAAATGTATCTACTGTATATACTTTCAGATAAGCCCGTCCTTGAATAAGCCATGGCGGTGCAGTGGTTACAATGCAATATTGCAGGCTAATTCTGCCAACTGCCAGCAGTTTGACTGTGACTGCGTCAAGATTGACTGAGATTTCCATCCTTCCAAAATTGGTAAAATGAGGACCCAGATTGTTGGGGCAATATGCTGACTCTGTAAACCATTTAGAGAAGGCTGTAAAGCACTATGAAGCGGTGTATAAGTCTAAGTGCTATTGCTATTGCTATAGGTAAGTCAATCCTCAAAATATTCATAATTTTCACAATCCACAGATTTTTCATTTTTCATAATATTTTGGTTAAAAATGTGAGGGTCAATTTATCCATAAGTTGGGCTTATGTATGAGATACAAGCATGTATGGGATATATGGGTATTTTAAAAAATATTACAGTAAATATTATGCTTGCACATAAACCCATACATGGATAAGCCAAACCCAATTTTGGAGGTACATTTTGGCACCTAAAATTTGTAATTATATAATATATAGGTTAAATTTGTATTATAAAGGAAACCAATTACACTCAAACTGTTAAATATTCTTAAAAATGATATATGTGTAATATACAATAATAATGCATCTGCTTCTTTATTACTTCTTTAACTGAATAACTCCATTAACTGAAGGAGCATGGTGGCTCATGAGGTTAGAATGCTGGGCTGATGATTGGCAGGCTTCTGTTCAAGACCTGGTTGCTGTCATGGAGTGGTGTGAGCTCCCATCACACGCTCCAGTTCCTGCTGACCCAACAGGCAACCACAAGTAGATAAATGGGTACCACTTTAGTGGGCAACTTCCTAGGGACACAAAAGGAGCCATCACCTGGGCGTCCCCCAGGCAATGGTGATGTCAGTGGCAAATCCTTTCATCATGGAAGCACTTTGGTGCGTTGGCACTTCCAACATGGAAACATAGAAATAGTAGTAGTAACTGAATAACAAGACAATAAATGTAGTCCTCAATTTATTACCATAATTGGGACGGGAATTTTAGTCGTTAAGTGATGAGGTCATTCAGTGAGCCGTCACATGGCAGGACTTTATTTTACAACAACTTTTACTGTAGTTGTTAAGTGAATCCAGCTCCCTCAGTTGACTTTGCTTGTCAGAAGCTGGCTGGGAAAGTCACAAATTGCAATTGGAAGATGCTGCAACCCTTATAAATGCCAGCCAGCTGCTAATCACCCAAACTGAGATCATATGTCTGTAGAGTGATGCAGTGGTTGTAACTCCAAGGGCAGGTTGTAAATGACTGTTTCTCAGTCCATCATAACTTCAAGCCAAAATTATTAATGCATATGATTAAATTAATTGTATGTTCCTTTTAGCTATATAATCTTTCCTGCAGCAGAAACTAATATAGGCTGGATTTGGCATTTTTATTCATCAAGTCCTTCCTAAGGATCTGGGACAGGCAAATGTTATTATTCAGTAATATTAAAGGTATCATGCAGAATGTAAGCTATTCCAAATGAAGCTGCCTTTTGCAATTGATTGATAGTGATTTTGTCAAGTGGTGCTCCAGATGTTTTGAGACTGCACCCAAGCTGCGTATTACTATTGGTACTACTGTATATTTGGTTTCTTTTGTCACAATTCTGTTTCTCTTTGCAGGTCTTTATATTTCATTATTTTCTCCAATTTTTCCCCCCTTCTATTCTGTGCAATTGTTTCTTGAAGCTAAGGCTATAAATACAAATTATGTTGGAACAGAGGTTGAGTCTGTTTTACACATCTTTTTAAAGCGCCCACTACACTCACACTGGCGATCAGAGCTAATGCCTCTGCTCTTGAGCTCCACTTATGAAGAGGAGATTGAAACATTCTTACTAAATGATCAATACTCAGGTGTTTTAAAATTTAATAAAGCTATCAGTGCCTTTATGGATACTCCTTTCTCATTCTCAGAATGCCTAGCTTGGCTTTTTTATTTTGCTAGGAAAGCCCAGGCAATCCTTTGATTATCATAAAGACTTGAGACAGAGAATATGCCTCTTCCAATCAAATGAAATGGGGGAGGGGGGGAAGAGAAAGAAGGCAATCCCATTTTCTCTCATGGCACAGGGTGACTGAACAAGAAACAATGGCTTGTGCTTTTGCAAAGCCAAACAACATACCACTTTGTGCTGCTGTTGAAATCCCAGCTGCAGCTGAGTGACACCAACCTCACACATCTGTACTTCTTTACATTGCAGTGGAGTTATGTCTCACCCCTTTGAGAAAGGAGGGCATCACCCTCTGAGGTAGGGATGGGCCTACATAAAGCTTGGAATATGTCCTTTTATTTTGACTGGATTGGTACAGATATAGGATCACTAGCTCTGTCCTGAGGCCAGGAACACATGATGTCATCCTCTGTAGCTTACTGGGAGACTAACAGATTTTTCCATCTATGCATCAAAAGCAGTGTTTTCTGACTTGTGCCAGCACCAGCAATGCTGTCTGGCTCACCCTCTCCATTTCATTTCATTGTAGGCAAATGCTACCACTCCGGTTGACTGCCTTGTGCTGTGGCAGGAAATCTCTTGTGTCCAGTTGTTATCCCCCAGGGCCATTTTATTGTGGTTGTCTGACCCCTCCTGGATGGATCTCAGTTGGTGAGCTTCTTTTTTCCTCCTCACTTCACTTCAGACTTATTGTACAAGTTGGTGAAAAGTGATCAGCTTGATACAACTTGTACAATCTGATACAAGTAACAGAGTAGTGAAAGGATATATATTTTTTAAAAAGTTCATAGGTGGATATCAAAAGACTGATTATTCTTTTCTTATAAGATCACTGATGATAGTGAAAATGTAGTCCTCCTTCCCTCCCGTTTTAGCCCAAATGATCAGAAGAATGGAAAAACCATAATTTTCTTTTTCACAGATCTACCAGTAGACATACCAGACAGGAAAGTGGAGTTTCACTACTCAACTAGATAACATCTTCAGTGCTAGAAGGGAATGAGGTTTGTTTTTTTGTCAGTGGCTTGCCCTGACAGCATTGGTGGAGGTATTGTTTTCTACTTGGTATCCTTGATGGGACTGTTGTTTCCTGCTTCATTGTTTGTCTGGTGTTAATCCTGCATTAATCCCTGTTCATCTGGGTGTTGATAGCTGGTGAGAAAGTATCCTGGTCTTTATGTTTTCTTTTTAACTTTAAAAAAAATATTGTATATACTGTATATTTTTTATGTCAATATGCCTGTTGATGGCTGATTTGTCTGAGTTCTAAGCTTCCAGGAATTCTCTAGTAGTTTAGGATTTAGCTTGGTCTAGGATGCTCAGGTTCCCAGTTGAAACTATGATTAAGTCTATCCATGAGCTGTGAAATTAAGTAGTTTTCATTGTGTCTTCTGACTTAATTAGCATTCATAGATATGCTCTGCTAATCTTCTACATGTCTGTCCTACACAGTGGCTGTTACAGCCCTTACACAGTTTACTGTAGATGATTCCTGTTTTTTCTTATTGGGCTACTGGGCCGTTTGGTTTTCTTAAGGTGTTTTGGAGGATTTAGTTGCTTTTTGTACTGTTATTATACAGTACTGTTATTATATTATATTATATTATTATTATATTATACTGTTATTATTATGGTTGTTTCTGAGATATTTTTGATATATAACTGTTAACTTTTTCATAGCTTTAAAAACAAGCACTGCCATACATGAGAAATGTTTTAAAATAATAGCTTCTGTTATATTATTCACAAACTATTCATAAATGTATTTATGAATACTTATTTAATCCTATTATTTTCCAAACTTATGAACTCCATACTTACTCTCCAAAGCACCTGAGGGTGGAAGTTTGTTAAAAAGAGATTCAGCCAAGAAGTAAGGATAAATTTCCTGACAGCAATAACTGTTAATCAATGGAACAGCTTGCCTCTTAGAATTGTATCCATCACTGGAGGTTTCCAAGAATATACTAGACAACTATTTGTAAGGACTCCTATCTTGACTCTGTGTGTGTGTGTGTATGTGTGTGTTGGATTAGTAGATCTCAAAGTTTCCTTCCAATTCTATGATTCTACGCCTCTTTTGCATATGAAACCATTCCTGATTTTTCCCTAAGGTTTCATCATTTCAGCACCCGGATTTATAAGTCTTACATCTTTATAGTTTTGTTTTACAGTATTTGATTAGGCATCAGAAATCATTGCTGATCCAGATTTACCAATACATTATGATCTTCTCGGCCCACTTAAAGTGTACGAACCTCATTTTTTTCCAACACAACAGAGCTTTTTAACTATATCAACTACATTGTATGAATGATTGCAATTCCTTGAGAAACAATGCATTATGTTTCAAAAGTAGAAATATGTGTTACTGCCTATAAAGTTTACCTTCAGAAGGACACAATTCTAATGGAACAATACATGTTTGAATCCAAAATAATCTTGTTGGCTTATCCAGGCAGAAACCTGCTTGGAGAGCTAAGCTTTTCTAATGTCTTCAAAAGAGACTTCTATTTTTCCCCAGTGATATGATTACTAATTCCCTGAACACAGTAAAAAAAAAATCTCAATTCCTTCAACTGCAACTTAATATGTTTATTTTGCTTATAGGAACAGAACCCCTTGGTGGGTAGACACCCAAATATTCCCCAGTTGTACAAGAAGCAAACTTGCCTAAATGGATTCTTATTACTACTATTTCTCACGTAACACTATGGTTCCTTCATACTCTGCTACCCTACTAAGCTCT